TCATCTTTTACCTTATCTTGACACCCTGGCAGATCCAACATTCCAACAAGATAATGCCCGACCACATGTTGCAAGAGTCACAATAGACTTCTTTCAACATAATGATGTCACATTGTTACCATGGCCACCAAGATCTCCCGACTTATCCCCAATTGAGCACGTGTGGGATATGATGGGTAGGAGATTGCTCAATTTGCAACGTCCTCCTCAGACTCTAGAAGCACTTCGAGAGGAGTTGGTGGTTGCCTGGAATGAGATACCACAGGAGGACATTGACCACCTGATCAAAAGCATGCCTAGGCGCGTTGGAGAATGCGTGGTACATCAGGGTGCATCCACACATTATTAAAGGTCAAAGGGCTTTAAATCATTTTGAAATTTTTATCATTTACTTATTATGCTTCATTAAGTACTTATACAAAATTTCATTAAAATACTCTAGGCATCGTAACCGATCGTAAAGGATGTCAAGAACCAAAATCCGCCAACGTTGATTCTTTACTGCGGCTGAAATATTCATTTTTAGAGCGTTAGTGAATTAAAAAAAAGCAGTATAAAAACCGGAATGTCCAACTGATAAGGCTGAACATTTTTTCACTTGTTATTTACAGTAAGATAAATACATTCACCAACTTTTATTAGAATAAAACCATTTAAACTGGGTGTTCGGATTTATATGTCACTTAGTATATAATCTTTAACCACTTTCCGAGTCACTCTAAAATGTTCCATGAATTCACTTCTATCGTAAAGAGGTACCATTACACTTATGTAATGCCCATCCTTTGTTTGTTTTTCGATTACGTAGCCGTATATATGCAAAATGTCTTCTCCATTACCCGAATCAATATCAAACTCCCGACAAAATCCTGTGGGCCGCTTAATGGTTGTAACTCTGATACTACAACAGTGATCTATTGAGTTCCTCAGGGCTCTGTGCTGGGACCGCTGCTGTTTTTATAATAAATTAATGATATCCTTCATAGCCTATCAGATACGCACAATTGTTTTTATATGCTGTTGACGCTAATTTGGGAAAGTCTAATAAATATGTAAAACCAGCTCATTATGTAAGTCTGACCTTGAGGATTGGTTTGCTGTCAATATGTTATTGCTCAATACTGATAAAACTCAGTCTATCATACTAAGCTTACGCAGATATGAGTTGGAATCTGCTCAGTCAGTGAAATTGCTAGGAGTACATATTGGCTGTTGTACTCTGACATGGGAGGTGCATACACGCTGTGTGGTGGATGAGTTATATATCTCATACATAGAATGAAGGATAAAGTATCTGTTAAAGTATAATTAACTGCTTACCACGCATACTACCACTCTATAATGACATGTACAATTTTGGTCTTGGGACACTCTTCACATATGCAAAAACTATTTGGCATGTATACTCGTTGTATCCAATACGTCTCTGGTTTTAAATGCGTGTATATTTTGAGTTGTCTCTTATATGTCAAAAGTAATATTAGTACTTTCCCCAATCATAGTGATAACCATAATTATGCCTCACGAAATAGAAACAATATCTGTCTCAATTACCTCGCAGAAAAGGCAAGAACTGGAACAAACTTTTATGGCATCGAGTTTTTTAATCTGCTGCTCAACAATATGAAATCATTGGATATTGGCTTCAGTGATAAACGTTAAATGTTTATTTATTTCTCTGCCCAACTTTTGTGTTTGTTTTTGATTGTTTATCTGTTTGTGTATAGTTAATTGTATTATATATTTTTCTGAACGATCTTCAACAATCTCATTAAGACATTTTTTGTTTTGTTTTTTTTATGCAACATTGCATTGTTTTCAACTGCTTTTGCTTAAGTCCCACCTACTTTTTTCTAAGCATTCTCTTAGTATACAGGGTGGCCAATCCATGTGTGGACGGAATATTACTCATAAACAAATACATTTTTTGAAAATCTATTTATGACATTTGAGGGCACATTTATAGGTCATTATACAGGGTGTCCCAATTTCGACCCACATATCAAAGTTGTGATTTGAATTTTATTGCGTATTTGGATAAACCAATTAAAAAGGAGAAAATTTGTATAACATACTATGGGGTTTTGGTAATTAGCTAATTAGGGAATTAAGCTGTTCCATACGTGCTAATAACCGAAAAAATAGCCGTAAAAACCCTTATGTGTCTAATATCAAAAAAAAGCTTATAAAAAATTGAATACAAACCTGCACAAATATACAGGGTGATGTATTTGAAATTTTTGTGAAAAACTACAATTCGCGTTTTTGAGCACCCTGTATGAGCAAAAATGAAAATTCAAAAACATATAAGATTAAAGCTGAGGTGTATGATTTTTTTTTATACAAAATTCAGCACTTCAAATCTCAAAATGGCAGATTGAGGCGTTGCCGAAGTGGACGGTTTTTCTGGACAAAACATCTCAGTAGCTAATTACCAAAACCCCATAGTCTGTCATATCAATCTTCTTCTTTTGAACTGGTTCAAATATGCAATAAAATTTGAGGCATTCCATTTAAAAAATCACAACTTTGATATGTAGGTCAAAATTGGGACACCCTGTCTAATTGATAATATTTTAGAAATGTACCCTCAAATGTCATGTATAACATGCCATAAATAGATTTTCCCAAAATGTATTTGTTTATGAGTAATATTCCGTCCACACACGGATGGGCCACCCTGTATATTGACCTGCGTAAATACTTTCTGTCTACTAATAGCAATAAATTATTATTATTATTATTATTACCATAATATTGTTGATGGGGTTAGATGTTATAGTAGATATAGAATCTAAATCTCGCCTCCTGTAACATTAAAATATAAAAGACGTCAATAATTATAATTTATGAATGTACGAGTATAATGAATAAATTTGACACTGTCTCTGTTTTCACTTCAACAGTCGCTTGTCCTGCAGCGTGAATCCGATCCACAGTATTCCAGATGACAGCACTTTGCATGCAGGCATTCCGGCTTCGCTAAAGGTGTTACGTATTTGGCATTCGCGTAGTGCGTTTCATTCTTCAGAAATCATCGCCTAGCACTTTGGGTCTGTAGTAATCAGCTTTAAATTCATCGCGGATTCCTCGCGTCAACATAACTCATCTTGTCCTTTATAAAAATTACTTCAGCGGATATCAGAAAGGATAAATTGGCCCACGGTGCAATTATGATCCAAAAGCCAATTTTTAACACTTAAATTGCGACGACAGTTTTTTTTATTCGGTCCGGTTCCTTCGATTTCACTGCAGGCTAGTTAATTTTGATTTATAGTGGCAGGTCGCATGAATATCTAATTGATAAGAGAAAGGTGGAGATGAGGCGATGAGATGTTTGGGTTCTTTTTTGGAGCTGTTAGACTGAACATAATTAAAAGGTCTTCTAGCAGGTACTTCGTCTTTTGATGGAATTTCGACCCTCATCGACTAACAAGATGTCGCTCAAAGAGTTTTGAAATTTAAAGTACTTCCGGAGAGGGACGGAAAAATCCGAATCTGCCCATTTTTTTTTTAATTCTTTCCTAACTTTACTTGTGGGATTTTAAAATAACTGGCACATTAGTTAGGTACTGCTTCTTCTCTACAAGATGGTGTAGTTAGAACTTCAATATTGTTTTGTCTCTTGTTCTCCAGCATCAACTTTATTTTTTAAATATCAGTGAAATATCTGAATCGGTTTTGAAAATATTAATTAATTTCCATTTGTTCCTAAAACTTCAACACCCCAACTTTTTGTAGGGAAACTTTTTTAGACCATAGTTTATAAAACAAACTAACATTAATTTTTCGTGTAGATTCACGCCCTCATTAAGGAACACCCTGTATAATATGTCATCCATGGGTATTACCAAACCTAATTATTTCTAAAAAATAGAATTTCTGAGGTAGGCCCTGAAATTATCAGATATCAATTGGTTCCGTATACCGGATTTATTGGAAAGTCGTTGTTTCAGTTCAAAATACATTGCATATTATTACTGCCGCTCTTTCTGCTTTAGAAGGGGGCGTAGAAGAATGCTCAATCAGACTTTTGTGCTTTCGATCTCCCTCAGCTTTGTTTTTTCTGATACACATAGACTCCCTATTGAAATTTTGGGCTGTCGAACACAAACTTTAATCCTACTTTTATTTACGAATATTTAATTTTTATTTATATATATCACGATACACTTCACATATTTAATTAAAGTAATATTGTTCTTTGTATTATTTAAGTGTACAAAATTCCAATATAGCGTCCATATAAAAAAACAAAGTTGGTGATGGAAGTGGAAAGAAGAAACCTCGAGGAGAAAAAGTAACATTGACAATATGCAGTTTGTTTCGAAATCGCATCTGAAATAGTGCCAGGAGGAAATAAAAATGATTTTTTAATAAATCTGGTATCCGAATATGATAATTTTAAGGCGTACCTAAGAAATTTTTCTTTTTTAATAACTAAGGTTTGGTAATGTCAATTATGTCATCTTGTACAAGAGACAAAGTTGCAATGTTAATGTGCAATTTATTTTTAGATTCCACTACAAATGAATTCAGGAAAAGACTAAAGCAGTTTTGAGAAATTTCTGTTGGTTCCTTAACTTATTTGATTATTGAGCCGTATTCATTAAGCAAAGGATATCCTTGTACTTGCAAATTTTGAAGGAAATCCTCCAGATGGTATTTATAATAATTTGAAGTAAATGCCTTTGCTTTTTGAGTATAAGCATATCCTTCAAAGCAGTGACATAAGTAAAAGGATATTCATAATCTTCACCTTATACTTGGCATAGGAAGCATATCCTTCTAAATTTCTGAGTAACGAAACGTTTCGAACGATGATGCCGGAAATTGTGGATGTTACAGATGTTAAAACGAACAAACCTCGTTTACCTTTACTTGGTCGTGACTTCAAAAAATTATATCGGTTCGACGAAGCAAATGTACAATGGCCTAAGGACAGATTTTTAGTTGAGAATCAGGAAACTCGAGGAGGAGCACTTTCATATATTCATAAAATGAAGATATGTCTACGTTATCTCGGTGACCCTGGATATCAACAAGGTATCGGTCAGGAACTTGGTGTTAATCAAGCAACGGTATCTGGGACTGTGGATAGAGTTGTGAACAGCATAGTTGCACAGTCGAACGAATGGATTAAGTTTCCAACTACCAACCATGAACTGATGGAGGCCAAGCGGATATGGCAAAGCATGTATAAATTTCCAACAGCAACTGGTGTAATTGATTGTACACATACAGGAATCCTGAAACCAAATCGCCATGGAGATGAGTACATCAACCGACAAGGAAAACCTACTTTAAATGCGCAAGCCACTTGTGATACCAGAGAGATGTTCACAAGTGTTGATCTCAGTTGGCCTGGATCAGTGCATGATTCCAGAATATGGAGAAATTCACATACTTGATCACAGCTAATAAATAAAGCAAATGTTGTACTACTTGGCGATGACGGTTATGGTATTGGGCCATGCCTTATGACTCCCTTCAGAAATCGTACTCCAGGTGCAGAAATAAATTATAATAAGCCTTTAAAACAAGAAAGAGTTACAACTGAACGCTGTTTCGAGCAACTGAAACGCCGGTTTCCTATAATACAGTAAAGTTGGAAAATGTGCCGAAAATAAATTTTGCTTGTATTGTACTCCATAATGTTGCGCAGAGTTTGGACGATCCTGACTTTGAGTTAGTTGAACCAGACCCGTCATGAGAATGACGAACATCCTCTACGGCAACTAGGTCAACAAATAAGAAGAAACTTCTTTTATTTTCGTGAACATCATAAGTTACAGGTGGATTCTGACGCTGCATCATTTCTAATTTCGTTTTATAATACGGTTGTTGTAAAATAGTTGTTTGGTACTGCTGCAATAGCACTAGACGTTGCAGTTCTTTTGTAGTTAACCTTTTGGTTTCCATTGGTTCGTATTTCTCTGTTGCTGATTTTCTTTTTGACTTTCTTGATGTCATGTTGTTGATTTTTTTTTATTGTTGGAACTTTTGCAAAATAACGGGAGCAATGACAATTTCATCTGCGATGAACTGCAGGTCGTTGCCATTATTTTCTGTAGTTTCCTCATCACTTGAGGATTAATTTGATAAAAAAACTGTATCCAGTAAAAATACGGAACGATCTGTGTAAGCTCTGGAGTACAACTGTCAGTGATGCTGAGTGAACGAGCTCCCACGTCAACTACAAGCGGGAACAAGTCAGGACATGTCGCTCAAGATACAAATCCCAGTCAACCTTCGAGGATATCCTCGCGGGTATAAGGTAATCATTATGAATATGAAAACAAGGATATGCTTATTCTTCTACCTTTTTCTCAGAAGCAAGACCTTATGCTTTTACCTTATGCTTCCGAGGATATGCTTCTCTTTTATGAATACGGCTCATTGAGTGAAAACTGTGCTCTGACTTCCTCGGGAAAAGGAACGAAAACAAATCTCGAATAGAAGGTATCCGGCTTGATGGGAAACATGAGCTTTGAGTTCGTATCAGTTTTGTTATTGTTATTCAGGTTCTAGAAAATACAACATAAAATTTATCCGCTTAGTGCATTGATTCCCAAAGTGGACTATATCGATCCCTAGGGGTCTATGACAACCTGCAAGGGGTCTACGTCGGCAAAAAAAAATGTGGGGGTCCATGAAATGAATATGGGGGTCAACACATACACTGATAGTACCTATTTACTTACATCATACTATCTTATAATATCAAAACATATACATTATTTATAAAAGTACCTATGAAGTAAAAAATTTATTATATATATTTATAAAATTGTGTAAGTTGTAGGATGTTGGTATTCGCTTTGTGGTCGCAATACATTTTGAACTTGTAAAAACCTGAGAGTCGCAGTCTCAGAGCTTCGCTACCTTGCACTGACTTGTTCAATTCGTCACTCTATAAATACGAATGTGGGACAAATACGTTTATTCGTTTCCTGAATCTTGAAAAGGAAAGTGCTAAGAAAATATTTTAAAAAATATAAGCAGATAGTATATCACACAAATTATAGTGAGTCAGTGTTATTTTGTTTGAGAGTGCTGGAGAAAAGTAAGTACATTATTTTTTATTAAATTTTAGTTTTGTACTCGTAGTTAGCAAAGATAGATAAATTACGCCAATCATGACTTTAGTTATTAGTAGTTAAATATTCAATCATTCAAAATTACACGAGTACTCCTCAATAGTTTCTTTTTGAAAGTTTTAGCAATCGGTAATATAATCACAGTGCGATCTCCGTAATTCGAGCTAATTGTTGCGAGAAGATGTTCCAATTATGGAATGTTTTCGTAAAAATCAAAAAATATTTTTAATATACAGCTGTTGGATTTTCTGTCTTATTTAAATAATTTAGTTTTGCCGACAGATGACTGATGCCATGTCCGAATCTAAAAAGAAATGTAGACAGTACAGTGTTGATTATTTGAAATTTGTCTTCATTCCATCATTGCCAGACAAACAATCACCTATGTGCCTTTTATGCAGCAAAGCTTTGGGCAATGACGCTATGAAAACATCTAAACTGCAAGATCATCTGAGAAGATGCCACCCTGATAAAACAGAGAAAGATTTGAAATACTTTCAAACACTCAAAGATAAATTTCAGAAGAGACCTACACTAGACAGAATGTTCGCTTCGACGTCACAAAGAAATGATGATGGTTTGCGGGCGTTAGAAGTTAATTTTGCCAGCCGTTGAAGAGGTTTTAAAAACTGTTTTACACAAACCTGCATCTGATATCATTAAAAGAATTCCCTTAAGCAACAATACTGTTGAAAGACGTATTGATGAAATGAGTTCTGATATTGAAAGCTTCTTATGTAATTATTTGCAAACGACCCATTTCTCTATACAACTGGACGAGTCAACTTTACCTGATAATGCAGCATTATTATTGGCATATGTTCGTTTTATTATGAATCAAGAAATCTACGAAGAACTGCTCTTCACAAGAACTTTGATAACTGACACTAAAGGTGAATCAATATTCATGTTTTGAAGGATTACTCCATTGAAAAAGCAATTCCTTTATCAAATATAATATCAGTAGCTACAGATGGAGCACCTGCCATGGTTGGACGTTATCGTGGATTTATAAGCTATTTAAAACAAAATGTCTCAGCGGTGTTAGCAATACATTGCGTCATCCATCGACAACATTTAGTTGCTAAAAATTTGAGAGTTAGATTGCATGAATCACTTCATTTAGTCATTGATGCAGTAAACCGAATCCGAATCAACACGTTGAATACGCGGTTATTTGCGCAGTTGTGTGTAGAAAATGATGAACACTTTCATCAATTACTCCTTCACACTGAAGTACGCTGGCTGTCGAAAGGCTTATGTTTGACAAGATTTTTTGCACTTTTTGAGACTATTTTAGAATTTCTGGATACTAAAGATAAAATTTTAAAAGAAAATTTAATGAAGAGGAAAACAAACATCGCCTATTTAACAGATTTGTTTACAAAATTTAATATGGTTAATTTGCAATTACAAGACGACAGTTTAAATTTGATTAAAACAAAGTCCATCTTATCAGCGTTTCTTGCCAGAGTTAAACTAATGAAGCAAAATATTGGACGGGGCGAATTTTCTCAGTTCCCCAATTTGTCACAGACAAGCTGCCAGGAAGACGACGTTTCAACTTACGTTCAACATTTAAATGCCGTCTATTCAGATTTTGAATCTAGATTTGAGGATATTTTGACTATGGTAATACCACCGTGGATAATTAATCCATATGGTGACATAGAAGAAACGAATGTCATAATACAAGAGGAACTGACTGAACTAAGTACAAACGAAGAACTTAAGATTCAGTTTAAAAAGGGATATCAGCAATTCTGGCTGCAAAACAACATACCCGTTACTTATGCCGTATTATGGAATATAGCGAGGAAATTTTTAATTTCCTTTCCATCGTCATACCTAGTGGAAAGAGGGTTCAGCGCTGTTACCAATCTCCTAACGAAAAAAAGAAACAGACTGGACATCATTAGCCGAGGAGATTTAAGATTAACCCTTACAAAGTTGACGCCAAATGTTGATAATTCATTATTAAAGCATCAGGTTCATCCTTCTCACTAAAAATATTGACTTATTGCTTATGTTATTTTATTTATAGTTTATTTTATGTTTATTGGTGTCTGACCAACAAATGCCCGCATTGGAAATAAGTGCCCGCATTGTTTTTTTTAAAGAACCCCCCTTCAATGAAAATATTTTTTTTAAATTATTCTGAAAATTCAAGGATAGGTATACACTAAAACTCGTTAATTTTTTGCCTATTTTTAGATAACTTAAACGTATAAGAAGCGGAATTTAATCAAACTAACAGTGAACTTATTGTTGAACATACGTTTATGTTATAATTAATAAGCGAACTCGCTTATTGTACTATTTTAAGTAAAAAACTTTTTTTTATTATTTTTCACTTTTTTTTATTTTTCACTTTTTTTTAATTTTATCCCTCTTATTTTTTTGTGCAATGCGGGCACTTATTCCCAATGCGGACACTTATTGGTCAGACACCTGTTTATTTAATGTTACGTATATTTTACATAACAGGTACAAAATTTTATTTTTAATTTAAATTCAATTAATAAATGTATAAATTAACATGTGTTTTTACTTTAAGTTTCTAACACTAAACTTCACTACAGTTAGAAATTTACAGGAAATCAATATCAGGTAAGTAGGGAGTCTACCCAACACGGAAAAACATGGCAAGGGGTCTACGACACAAAACAGTTTGGGGAACTCTGGCTTAGTGGAACACCGCCTGTACGTGTAATATGACAGAAGTAGATTTAGAACGAGTCTGGCAACATCGCCTTCTGATCTCGCACTTTTGAACGTATGTAGGTACCGGACTTTTTCCAAGTTTTATTTATTGCCGAGGATTACGCGCCGTGCATCAGGTGTGCTGGTTGGTTAAAACTGGTAACATGCTGCAAAATGAACTCCACATTTAATGATAGCGATGCCACGGCGTCGGACAGTGTGCCAAATCGCGGAATGCGGTTGATCGCATTCTCAAATGTACGCACCTCTTCAACATGACGACCTTATGGATTTCTTTTCTTTTTTCTCGTCCGCATGAAATGTAATGCTGTATATTATATAAATCAATTTCGCCACATTGGTATGTGTGGTATAAGAAGTCGGGGATACTGGCCAGAGGAGTTACAGGGCAACGGATCTTCTGAGAAGAAACGATTTTGCCCAGGGGGTGAAACGTCTTATAGGCAACACCAAGGTCATCTTTTCCGGGCAAAATCAAGGAAACTGCATTATCGGCATTACGTGACGTGCTACTTGCCACGATTCTCTATCTTTATCTAAATGTAAAATGTCAAATATAGCGTTTGTTTTGGTTAGTATCGAGATTATCAACGTTGATGCTTTCGGAGATATTTCGTAAGAAATCGTTGTAGTTGGCACTGTTATATCATCGAAAGTATGAAACGCCAACAAGTTAAAGGCATAGAACTGAGCAAACCAATTGAAAGTGACTAGCTTATTTACAATTAATTACACTGGACAACAAATTTTAGTTTTTTAATTGTATCTTGTGGGAAAAGTGCACCTCTTTATTAATTTTGGGGCGCTGAATCCAAAAATGACAATGAAATAAAAAAAATTAGTTGCGGTTTAGAAAAAAACTTTTTATTTTTAAGGATATATTAAAAAAAGTAACAAGATTCATATACTTATAAGAATCACCATATGCGCTGTCTTTTTGCTGTTCTTTTATGGATCGTTTCTGGAGCATCTCTACCAAGAGTCCAACAGTAGTCTGCAAGCATG